TGCTGTCACAAGGGCGGGGGGTGCTTCGAGTACTGGATGGTGTCCAGGGCGGCCCCGATGTCGTAGTTCTTGGTCTGGAGCAGCCTGGTGAGCCAGCCGCCCTCGTCAGAGAAGCCCATGGACAGCATCTGGGACAGGGACTCGATCAGCCGGGGGTCAGCCTCTGCCAGAGATGACAACAGGAGCCGTGAGTGCAGGCTGGGGTCAGCCACGTGGCCACCCGGCCTGGCATGTGGCCAGCCCGTCCCTCCCTCTAGCCTCCGGGACCTCACAGGTAGCAGCTCAGCTGCGAAGGGTCGGGGACAGGCCCTTTCTGCCCCACGGGTGCGGCCTCTCAATCCTCTACACACACCAGAGCAGCCAGAGGGCGAGGGGCAGTGAACATGCTGTGCCTAGGGACCCCTGTGGGCGCGGAGTAGGAGCCTCACCAGACTGCCATGTCCCGACTTCTCCCAACCACTGAGCCGATGGAAGCGGGTCTCAGCCCATAGGCTGCTTGCCACCCCTGCTCTGAGGCAGCCCAAGAGCCAGATGGGACCACACGGCAGCAGTGAACTCCGTAATGACAGATCTGAACTGGGTAGCGGCTGACTTACTCCGTGTGCTCTTGGGGCTGCCACAGTCCCCACCCTGCCCCGCTGCCTCCCACACCAGCCACGTCACACTGGCTTCCTGCCTGGCCTTTGAGCTTTCCTTGCCCCAAGTTGCTAAAGGGTGCGTCCACTCTCCAGAGAGTGAGCAGTCGCCCCTCGGGGGATGGCCATACCACAGCCCTGCACCATCCTCTCAGGGTTTCGGCCTCCTATGCTAACATGCTTGGCCACACGCACCATCGCCTGGCGTGTCTGTAGAGCCACCAGGCCCAGGACTCGAGCTGTGCAGTCGACCATGTAGGACCGAGCACCCCAATATCCATGCCGCCTGCTGGCTCCCACAGGGTTCTGGCCGTGACCCCTGTTCTGAAGTTGGTGCTCGCAGTGAGGAGTGGTGTGAGGTGGCCACGCTGCCCACTGCCACACCATGACTGGGGTTACGTTCAGAAACTATGGGCCGGGGACCAGCAGGTGGTGTGGTGGATGAAGCACTGGACCCCACGTGGCTGGGCACATTTCACACCCCACACCTGCTGGCTTGCGCTTTCTCTCTCTCCCTGTCTCTGTTAAGTTAGAAAGTAATCAATGAAATTAAATAGATCATTTATTATTTATTTTATAAAAACAAGACAAAACAACTCTTTAAGAGTTTTTTGCCATAGGGTATGTGCACTGGCCAGAAAGAGACAGAGAGAGAGAGAAACTGCCCCCAGGGGGAGGGCCACAACCGCGATCCTGTCTCCGTTCTCCTGGGCTCTTGGGCACACATGCACACACCCAGAGTTCCAAGCTGCTGGGCCTGGGGCTTGAACTGCAGTCGGCCATGTGGGAGCCCAGACACATAACCACTATGCCATCTGCTGGTCCCCACACAAAACTGTCCACAAGCCCCGGGAGAGAAGGCCCTACCCTGAGTCACACTGCTCAAGCCAGGGCCCAGGATGCTCCAGGACGGAAGGAGCGAAGACTGGAGACTTGCCTGGTGGGAGGTGCGGGTACAAGGCGGCCTCCTTCAGCCCTGTGGGCCCTTCCTGGGACGGGTCCAGAGAGCTTGGCCCTTCGGACTCCGGCATGTGCAGGGACTGGGGCTCGCCCGTCGACGGGTCCACTTCCTTGGAGGACAGGTGCGTCCAGTCGTCGTCACCCCCTGAGCAGTTATCAGACTCCATCTGCTCCTGGAAGGGTGCCTACGTGAGCCGAGGAAGGGGGCGAGCCACAGCCTGGCTCAGTGTGGCCGAGACCAGTGGGTGGGACGGCATGTGTGCACACATGGGGCTGGCGAGGCGCTGCGGCCACAGGGAGCCCCTCGCAAAGACCAAGTCACCTTCTGGGATGAGGCTCGAGCCAAGAGCCCACAGGGACCTCAGTGCCACCGCATCTGCGTCCCCCCACCCACCCCCCACCCTGGAGCAGGGCCCTCGGCCACAGGAGGGCTGGGCTGGCCTGGGTCCCAGCAGGGGTGGGGCGGGCTTGCCTCGGGCGGCACTGGGGTCTCCAGGGCGATGTGTTTCATCTGCTCCGTCAGAGCCTGCTCCGTCAGAGCCTGTGCTGTGCCCTCCGCGCCATCCGCCCTGCTGGGGCCGGAGGAACAGCTGCTGGGCTGGGAGCTGCCCTTGTCCTCAGGGCCCGAGCTCTCCGTGGACACTGGTGTCAGGCGGCTCCTCTTCCCCCCATGCTCCACATCGATGTCTACTTCGATGCCTGTGGGCAAGGCGACACAGCCATGAGTCCCCGGAAGACTTGCTACAGGTCAGGCCTGCGCCAGGGATGCGGGCTCACCTAGGACTAACATTCTGCTCCTCCCAGTGTGGGATGGCTGGGCCTGTGGCACTCAGCCTGTGGACCCCAGTGCCAGGCTACTTCACAACATGGCCTGGAGTTCTGCACCCCGGATGCGACCAACCAAGGCTCAAACCCACGAGTCAGCGGCTAGGGACAGTGCGGGGCCGGGATCCCAGAAGGGCAGTCACGGCCGCAGCCTCTCGGCACGAAGGCCTCACCTCTGGTGCTCTGGCCGTAGGCTGGCAGCTTCACCCAAGACCCCAGCCCCAACCTTCCTGGCTTCGAGAAGCACCCTCCCAACCTGTCACCGACTTCCTCCCTCAGTCTCCGAAAGCTGTCACTCCGCGAGTGCCCAGGCTCAGGAGCCCCTCGGCGGTCTGCGCTCCCCAAGCATAGCCAGGCTGGAGGACAGGTGGGGGCAGGGTACTCGGCACCCATCGCCCGGCCACGTGCTGGGCCTGATGTGGCAGACTGCCCTGGGGCTCCAGCTGCTGCCCGGGGGAGCACTGTGCCCTGGGCTCACCGCAACTGGGCAGAGGCCCGCCCCACCGCAGCCCCAGTGCCCTCACTGCCCTCCCCGACACTGCACCTGCGGCACCTGCTCAAACATGGCTCTCTGCACACCCAGGTGCAGGTGACCGCTCACCACTTTCTGCGGGTGGGCCTAAGACCCGCAGTGCCTGTCCTGCTATGGAGGGCACTGGGGTGCTGGCCTTCCGCCCTGCCCAGGGCTGCCCCTGCTTCCACCCTGGAGCTGCGCGCCCCTGCCAGCCCTGCTTCTGACACCCTGCTCTTCGGGCGTGCTCCTCACTCGGTTCCAGACGAGGGAGCCGTTGAGGCCTTACGTGCCAGGTGACCCCGCTCTGCTCTGCTTCACCGCAGCCCGGTGCAGAGTTCGGGCCAAAAACCTATTCCAGGCTTCCAGGCAGGGTCTGAGCGCCACGACCAGCTGCAGCCATGCTGGGTTGCCAGGGCGCAGGTGCACACAGCCTTGCCCCAGGGCTCAGTTACACAGGAAATCGACTGGCCGTCCCGGTGGTCCCCAGCACGTGGGCAGAGTATCAGCGCGCCACCTGGCCGGGCTCTGAAACCCTAACTCAGACCCCCGGAGTCGCCTTGCCGCCCCGGGCTCTCTGTACCCCAAGCTCTCACAGCGGCCCAGAGTTCAGAGGCCCGCTTCGCCCCCGGGCGCTGGCACTGGACAGCCACCAGTGTGGGGTGGGGTCCTCCCGAGCCACTGTCCCGGCCCTCGGGCCCCGCTGAGGTGCTTCGTGCCGAGAGGCTGTGGCACCCCGTGACTGGCCTCCATCCGCCCAGCCCTTCCGGGATCCTGGCCCTGCACCACATGCCAGGACTGCCCTCCCGTCCTCCCCTCCTGTCCTCGTTTTGCTTCTGAGATGTTCCCTTGAAATCTTGGGCTCCACGCCGCCTTCGGTTTTTCCTGCCGCCACTTTTCAGGAAGTTTCTTTTCCTGTTCTGGTCTCGTACAGCAGCCCACCCCTTCCTCACAACAGCGCCATCCAGTGGCTCCTGGAGGGCACTAACGCTCTCCTCCCGCTAAGGCCTTCCCACATGTGGAGGCTTTCCTCGGCTGGGGGCTGTGGCCGTCTGGTGCCCGGGGAGGCCCCAAGTGAGCCAGCAGGAGGCCCCTCTGTGGGCCCAGGTCACCATGCGCTTCCTGCCGCGGTGATGGCGGGGGCAGGTGCGGGGCGAGCGGTGATGGCGGGGGCAGGTCAGGCGTCAGGGGACCAGGCCAGGACTGCAGGGCTCCCTCCTGGGGACGAGCAGAGCCTGCCTGAAGGTCGCCTGGGTCTGAAGGAGTGCCCAGACGCCCCGCCGCCCGACTCCGGCCAACTCGGGGCCATGCCAGGCCCGCTGGCAACCCATGGGCTCCGAGCAGCGCGGCTCCTGTCCAGACGACAGACCGAGCAGCCAAAGCATTTCCCGAGGACACACCAGCACACGGTGACCAGTGCGTCACCACATGAGCCAGGCCTGAGAGGCGGAGGCTGTCCTGAGGGCTGGGGCCATGGACGGTGTCTCCAGACAGGAGACACTGACGCTCCAGGTGGGGCGAGGCAGTCTCCAGTGGAGAGTCTGGGGTGGACTTGGCGTTGGCAACTACGAAAACTGATCCTTTGGGGGAAAGTCCTTCGCTAAGGGGACAAGTGAGAGGTCTGGGAGTCCCACTCTCGGCCGCTGTCGTTGGCCCTGGTAGGGAGGCCGTTCTGGAGGCCGTCCAGGTGAGTCCGGGTCTCCAAGGTCTCTCCCGAGACCCCACTACACTTGCAGTGTCTCAGACCCCACCTGGGCTCCCACTGGGACACGTGGGATCCCGGAAGTGCTCCGAGGTCTTTGAGAGCAGGGTGAAGAGCTGGCCCGGACTTCGAAGTCGATGGGGGAGTTTCCGTCAAGGGCCTGAGCGGCTTCCCTGGCCGGAGGCTTCGGGGACTGCGGACACCATGGAGGTACCGGCATGCTCCTTTCTCTACGAGGAGGGCGGAGGGCGGCTCCCACGTTAACCGCCCGGGAGGGTCGGAACCCACATCCTCCCCAGAAGCAACGCCTGTGGGTGCGTCGGCGCCTTCCAGGTCGGGAGCCAAGGCCTCCATCCGGCAGGCGCGGAGAACGGTGAGGGGACACCTCCTGCCCGCAGTCACCCAGCAGCTCTCCCTAGTGAGCGCAGGGCCAGTCCCGACCCAGGGCCCAGAGTCAGTGCCACAGACCCTCACTGTGGTGGCGCCAGCCTGCAGCACCACCTCCGGCCGGAAGTGGCTGGGGCAGGCCACACCACTGGGCGCACGGGCTTTCCCGGCCGGCAGGCCTACCCGCCCCACAGCCTTCTCCCAGCACTGGCGCCAGCCCTGGACTCAGAGAACCCGGGAAAGGTTTGGGGCTTGCAGATAAAAAGTGGGAAAAGATAATGGCCTCTCGGGTAGGCAGTGGGTGGCGGTTAACTAAGGTACCGGGTCCCACATGGCCGACTTTGTGGTTCGAGTCCTGTACCCGGAGGCCTGAAAAATCACACAAGGCACATGTGCATGAGTGCCCAAAGTCCCGCAGAGAATGAAGGAGACGGGGCTGCAGCGTGGCCATCCCACCAGCGTGCTTTCTCACTCCCCCTCTGGCTCTCTGTGAGCGCATGCTAACGGCCACTCGGGTGCTCGAGTCCAGATTTGCGAACTGCCGTTTCCTGAGGGGCAGGAGCAGCCGCAGCCGTAGGCAGCCCCCAACAGTCTGCTCAGCCCCAACCAGGCCGTCCCCACCA